TATGCAGTTCCTAATTGCAATAAGAAGTACGATGTCACACTAATTTATAATAAAATAAGTATGCTAAAATAAAACTACAGCAGGAAAGCAACATGGATACTGAAGTAATACTGCACATAATCTACAGATAGAGGTGATTAAATATTGCACGTGCTCTGAGAAAATTAACCATATCTAAGGTAAAAATCATATTTAATCAAAATCACGTCATTCTACATGTCCTTTGCTCGAACCAAAGTCTTTGGCACGACGATTTGTGAATCAGCTGTGACCAACATGACAAACACTTTGGGACTTTTTGCTTGAACTGCAGGTTGTGTTTACACAGAGGAGACACGTATGTAAAAAAAAACTAAACCGTAACTAGTAAAATATCTCAGTCCCAGTATTGGTAACACGTGTGGACTCTTGGAAAAACGCTGATTCCAAAATGAGCCCACAGTGAGCAAAAAAAAATGCATTCAAGCTGTTTGGTGGGGTTTAGAGGGTTAAAAGTGGAAAGAAAATTTGAAGAAAAAAAAAAAAAAGACTCTGTCTTTTGCCCCTTAACATAGTTCGCTCACTGCGCTGTGTGGTGGGAAATACTGACATTTACTGCGAGAGATCACAGAGAAAGCTAGAGGCTTCTTGACTCTGCTGCACACCCACTAACAGTGACTGGGTTAGCTTACACCGTTTCTTTTTTCTCCAAAAGCTCAATTTTTCCCTCAACACGCACAATTGGCAGGTTTTTAAGATCTGTGTTGTTTTTGTTGCTGTTGCTTGTTTGTTCTTTCAATCTATTTCTAAGAAAAATGTGAGCTACGTGTGGACGGATGGATTGTGCGAAGAGAGAAAAACTTCTTTTTTTTTTACCCCGTTGCCAGCTTCATAAAACTAACAATGTCGTCACCTCCTTGAGTTTCACCCTGTTTAGATCTGTTTACATTAAAATCAAAAGTCCTCAAAAGAAGTTATTCCTGTTTTGGCCACATCACAATCGGCCCTGCTCTGACCTTTGTGAATGTGCCTCCTAATCCGCTGGTTAAACACAAAATACTTGGGCAAATATGTGAATAATGCCGCTCGTATTGCAGCTTCTTGTTCGTGCAAGTACATCATGAGTCTTACTCATGCTGCTTGGCTGCATCAGTGCCTGTATGTGTGCTGCTTACTCTCTAGCTTCCTCCTTGGTTGCGTATGTAACATTCACCACTGCTGTTTCTGTATCAGTGTTCACTGCGAAACAAGACAGAGAGACAGAGAGAGAGAGAGAGAAAAGGGAGAATCGTGAGAAACAGCGAGCACAGGTTCGTCCACATTTACACATGCACATAGCGGGTCTTTGTCGTTGCCGTAGGTGAGTCAGACACGCGTCCAGGTTCCCGTGGTGACCCGGAGAACCACTTGTCTGTGTGAATCCATTACAGCCATCACCACACTGGCTTCCCTCCAGACCCCGCTGCTTCCTCTACAGACAGGAGCTGCTTAACACAATAGCCTCTCTGCCGCTCGCACAATAACGGATTTAAGTTTGACATGACAGCCTAAACAAAGCAAGCAATCTGCGATAAAGCGAAATGCCGCGCGCAATCAAGACACACCTCGGAAAGATTTGTGTTCGCGTTCTGCTCGGTGAAAAAAAAGAACGGCCCCGAGGGTTTGATTCCCGACGGAGTCGGGCTCGCTTTAAAGTCCCTCTCAAGTCACTGACTTAACTCCTGAAAGTCACCTCTACGTATCTAAAGCCCTTTTTAGACATGGAGCCCATCAGTCTGTTGACGTGACGACACTCTTGTCATTCAAACATAAGTCACTTTTACATTAATGTCATTCAGGCGGATCCACCACGGTGACGAGTTAGAACCACGACACGCATGTGGTATCTGTCGGGATTGGACGGTGCACTGAGTGAGGTGCAATACATACTGTAGCCTCGTTTATTTATGATTTCCTTCATCGCTAAAAATTCTGTGCATGTGTGATGATAATAATCGAACTAATACTTTGTGAATAAAAATATCCTGGTAGCTGTGATGGAGCTCAGGACTCGACACGAGGACGACAACAAATTATTTACCTGCAGCTTAAAACTGTGACCCCATGCAAAGGAAAGTGCACGGCGTGACTTGATCCTGTCTTCAATCTCTGTGATAATTTATAATGAAGTAAGTTAATGCTGCTGTTCCCATGCATGCATGTTGCATCCCTCGAGCTCATATGGATGCTGTTTGATGGCATTCAATAAACTCAGGAAGCAACAAACTAAACTTGAGCTCCCGTTCATGTTTGTGAAAACTCTGATTACAGTCATTAGTGCTGAGTCTTATTAGTCTGAGTTTATTTTGCAAAAGATGCAAAATTGACAAGTGAACAAGTCATGTGTTTTGTGTGATTTTGGCCTGAAAACTTATTTTTTTTGTGATGTCTTTGGACCAGGATTGTTGCTGAAATCTCTTTTCTAAACCGCTTCACACAAATTAAAGCGTGTTGCGATTCTGAGCGTGTCTACCACATTATCAGTTCAGACTTGTGGCTAAAATGGATGCAGACACACTACAGTGGCTGACCTAGTAAGATTACCATCAAAACTTTAAGTGACCAGGGTGCTCATTTAGGCATGAAGCCAACAAGTTCAGTTCAGATTAACAGACAGGAGTGCATGTCTAAATGTACAGGTGTGTTTTTTGTTCAGACATATTCCCTCCTACCTTGAATTAGCATAGATGGAGCTCTAGCCTGCAGTTTCAGGGTGGAAATGCTCAGATATTGTGTCTTTTAGCGTGAAAAAAACACCATGCAGGCATGTTAACAAACTCGATTTTCTTCCAACAGATTTTTAAAATGTTTTACAGATTTTATTTCTTCTTATCTTTGTTGTTATCTACTTCAAGCTCTTTTCTCACATTCCACTTCAGCCTATAGTTTGCTCCATTTAGCAGCATGCCACTTGTAGGTGAAGAGGGCTGCAGCGATAGTGACGGCAGAAAAAAAAAAGAAAGGCAGCACATGCGATTGATGCAGTTCCCTCTCGTCTACTGAGGCCTCTTATAGAAGCCACAACGGCATCTCTGCCTTATCAAGGACGGATCTCTGCTTGTGAAAGCACTAAATGTCAAAATGAGGTGTCTTCAAAGCTCCACAATTTTGAGGATAGCTGCCAAAGCTTGCAGATGCTTCAGAAGTCTGAGCAAACTTCATTACGACATTTGGCAAATGAACCTAAAGAACAAAAACACGGCAGGTCTGGAGATGCAACGAACACGAAGCTGTGTCAGAAATAAAAACAGGCAACAGTGAGTAAAAATGAAAAATTTCCAAACCTGCTGATGCGCAGCAGACAGCGGGTTTGGAAGGGTTAAATCCAGTGAGAGCGCCCAGCTGGCTTAGAGAGGGCGAGTGGGCAGAGCCTGGCGTGGTGCCCGGCACCGGCGCTCACAGCCAGCTCTGCCCCGCCCCACCCTGCCCTGCCCCGCCACCGGCAGCCTTCGCCATGCCACACAAGAACATGGGACTTCTCCAAAACCTCACCCCTGTAACCAGAGCGCACGGAACCGGGCAGAGAAAAGTGACAGGAGGTGGGCAGGCGGGAGGCTGGACACAGAACACAACTGAGAGGGGAAGGACACACGAGCGAGGTGGCTCTAATGATCGCTCACGGTAACTGGCGGTGCTTGAAGAGGCTGGCCGAGGGAAGAAGAGGAGGAAATCCTGCGCTGGTGTCTGCTACTGACTGAAGTAGGCTGTTCTACGGCAGCGGCTGGGAAACTCTGAGTGGAGTAATTCCTCTGTTGGGCTCTCTTTTAGCACCTGTCATGACAGCAGTGGGTGGTATAGTTGGTCTTGGCTTTTTTCTTCGACACACAGTGAGACACTGTGAGTGTGTGTCAGGATTTGTGTCTGTGTGTCTCTGTGGTAGTTTGTTTCTCCCTGTGCATGTCTTTACTACGAACACATGCGTGTATGGACAGCAGAGAGTTTGCAGGGACGGCTCGACGCTGGCTACCCTCCACACAGACTCTCCATCAGACAGTGCAAAAGCCTCACCACAGGCGCCTACAGGGTCCTCCCCCGTTACCGCGATGCACCTCCCCGTAAGAGACGCAACACGCAAACACGTACAGGCATAAACACACACACACACGGACACATTACTGCTGGATGTCTGCCATGTCTGCCCACTTCAATCCATACGCTGAGGCCAGGGGGACCCACGGCAGAACACAGTGCTTATTATAGAGGCATGTAATTCATACAGTCGTCTCCCCGGGTCGAACTTATACGACACATGCATGCACGCAGACAGACAAGATGATAAAGGCTGATTCATATGCAGAGATGGGTTATGTTTAGATAATGGGTGTGTGGGATGATGGTAACGAGGATGTGAAGTCACACAGGGAGACTTGACTCACTGGGAGGTCTGAGAGTGTGTGTTGCTAAATAGACACATGTGCATTGAACAGTTGGAGCCAGATGAAGACGACATGTGCAGGAGACGGGTTCCCTACCTTGTTCCACGTTTTCTACAGTACCATGTTGAGCTAGAAGGCCGTCCAAAACCTGCAAGGGAGAAACGAGAGCGTGAGTTACAAACGCAGACTCCGGCCGCCTTGATGTGAAAGCACACATTGGCAAACACACACACACACACACACACTCACACGCAGGTCTGGTGCTACTAGAGTTTACATGGGCCACTGTTCAAGAAACAATGCGGCCAATGGAAGCGTAATATAGAGCCAGAGTGAAATCAGAGCTTCGAAATCTCATTTAAAAACTCATTGATCTTCGTAATAAAGCAGATTACTAGAAATCCAGCCCTGGAAAGTACATTTCAAACTCACACTCTTTTAATAATGTCATCTCATGGCAGTTTCTTCATCTGCAAAGCTCTGATGGAGCTTCAGCACAACTGACTGTTTATCTGGATGTGCCCAGCTCCTAATAATATTTACACAACAGTAGTGGAAAGCCTAATTTTTGCCAATTTTTTCTGGGAATTCGGTTACGATCGGATTGAAGCCGATGACAGTCAAGTGACTGCGGCGAGCGCGGACGTGGCTGTAAATAGCAAGACAAAGACAGCTGAGTGACATCTGAGCTCGCAGCCGAAAGTTGGAACGACGACAAGGTGTTGGATTATCATGCAGAAATCATTAGCTGCAGTCACGCAAAATCAGACGAGGAGGAACAACGAGAAACACTTAAGAATGTTCAAGTGTCACTACAAGATTTTACACCTCAGGTGTTGTCCTTGTAGGTGAATGGCCTCATTGTGCTGATCGTGCTTCGAAAGCGGTTCATTAGTGAAAGCAGGTAGAAAGCTCGTTTACTAAGTCCCCCATTGGTAAGATTTGCCATTTGATAGCCATATTATCAGCACGCCCAGTTATTGTTGGCTTACAAGACCACAATCTCCCTCTAAAGGAATCAGGGGAGAATCAGAACTACGATTTCAATCGTCCCCGGCACATAAAAACTGCATGTAAATAAATAACCACTCACATCTGACATAAAAAATAAATAAAAAAATGTAAAAGTTGGGTGACGTTGCCCTAAAATGAGGTTTAAAAAGTGATTATAGTTCCACTCACGCATCGACACTGTTTCACAACAACGCACTTGCATCAGTACAACAACACAGCTGGCCAGATGTTTTCTACTTCAGCTGGTACAAAGCAGACGTTTTGAGTGGGAGGGACAGGACGTGTGTCATATATTTGCACATTTTTGGCACTACAGAATAGATTTAAATTCAAGATTCTTTCAGTGGCAAGGCTCTCCCTCTGACCTTACAGCACGTCTGGTGTTTTTTATTTAGCAGTTTAACTGAAATCGTGCACAACACGGCGTCAATGTGGTTTAATAAGGGGGATAGCAGCAGCTACAATAAACTGGTACAGGGCTGTTTTTTCATAGGTTTTCAAAAAGGATAATCACTGTTTAAGTTGTGATGTAATAACTACTCACTTAGAATATGTAAATAAATTCCATGAACACACGTTAGCTTCTGATGATGGCAAAACTGATCATATACGTCACAGAAGGCTGACTTAGTTAACTTTTGAAGTTTTAGTTCCATTTATTTCACTCCATTTATTTACTCACTGCTTACAGTCTAAAATAACAATTACATACCAGGACTTGAGTTAAAGTAAAAAGAAAAAAAACAGTAATTTTGGCACCGATTCACTTGTTTTTCTGGAGGGAGATGAGAAGTCGTATGTGCGTTAAATACAGAAGAATCAGATTGACTTATCGCAGCTCAAAGGATGCAGAGGGAAACAGCTGGCTTGGCTCCGTCTAAAGTGGAAACATACACCTAGAAGCAACGCTAAAGCTCTTCTATTAACAGCTCTTTTTGTGCCATCCATACGCAAACAGAAACGCATGATGAGGCGTTTTTATCTCACGACTAAACTACGATACTGAAGTATTTTACACACACACGTTTATATATATATATATGTGTGTGTGTGAGTCATATCTGCCTTTGACTGGACAACAGATTTTCACATTATCAAAGTCTTTAAACCCATTTACATATTAGAAATGTAGTTTTTAATGTGGTGCTGAAGGAGATCACACAATAAACCAGACTTAATTTGTTTTTTTCAGCTAATACTGAGTCACCGATTTAGATTTACAGATGTGTTTAATTAGTAAAGTTGCATCCATGTAATTCACATGTGAATATAAACACGAATGTGTTTGTTACTTTTTTAAATTAATTGTGTGTTATTTAATGATAGCTGTCTGTTAATTTACTCCTCAGTATATTATAGTTAAGATGCATGTGTGAGCTTTCTTTAATCCAAATTTAAAGTTTATGCACAAGATGGAAACTTGCAGATTGTTTTATAAGTAAAAACATATTTAAAAACATCTAAATTATTCGTGTTTTCTGATGCTGTCCAAAGCTTGGTACCAATAATGTCAATAATCACAGCTACGATTATGATTAGATTAGTAATTTCTTCATTGGTATTACTTCAAAACCTTTTTAAAAAAATTTTTTTTTTTTCTTCATTGGTATTACTTCAAAACCTTTTTAAAAAAATTATTATTATTTTTATTTAATTAACACTTTCGGATTCAAATTTATTTTTTAAAGGTTTTTTGTGTAAAAAAAAAAAATTATCTGCAAGTAAATAGCATCAGAAATAAATAGAATGAAATAAAAAGTTTCAGAAGTATAATGGAAGAAGTTTAAGTGATTTGAAACTGTACAAAGTGCTGTACTCTGGTTATGTTTGGACCACTGTCGCATTAAAACACCAAGAAAAATAATCCAGCAACTTGGCACCATGTGTCAAAGCTACTTTTTCACCCACTAATGTTGATATTTTTAATTCCCAGGCTCGCTCGGCGTCAGCAGTTTTCTGGGGGAGACAACCTGCAGATATAAACCCAAAGAGAAACGGGGAGAGTTGGCAGGCGTGAGGCTCTCACACAGAGAAAACCAACGTGGACCCCAGCGAGGCTGCAGATGTTGACGCGCCGACAAGAGTGTCATCCACACGGCAACAAACACTGACGTGGATTTTAAGAGCGCACAGACATAAACACGTGCACGCAAACACCTAAGTCAACAGTCTAAAGGCTGGTGACTCATTGTCAGGAAACCAGTTTATGTGCTGCCTGGTGCTGTTCAACTGGGCATCACTGTCACACTCACACACACTCACACACACACACACAGACATACAAACAACTGACCTCCCACTGTAGATGAGGGGGAATGTTCCGGATCTGGATCTTCCGACTCCTGCAGAGATGAGAGACACAGACGGAGTGGATTTAACAGACCTGAACCACAGACTCACACACACATTTACACTTACAGTCATCTGTTGTGTTTACAGCAAAGCCAACAAACTTCACTCTACACACACACACACACACACACAGCGTATTTACATACATGCACGTATGGACGTTTGCTGTATCAGCAGCCGAGAGGAAGAGATAGTTTTACAACGAGGGCAGGAAATGCAGACCTGTGTCATGTGTGCAGTGTGTAATTTCACAGTCAATGTAACGTTACTTTCTGCAACACCCACAGCTCATTAGACAGTATTGCCAATCAAAGGACTGTCACTGCAGGAAATGTAAGCGTGTAGGTGAGGGCGTTTATTAGACAGCAGTTAGTGACTCTTGGTAGCACCCTCCTACGAGTGCTATTCTTACTACTCTCACTATGAGAAGTGAAAGTGATTTTGAAAGAAAACAAGAAAAAAAAAACCAACAGATCCTCTCAGACCACATTGACGGGTTTCCTGCGTCCTGAGCGAAGCAGTCAAGGCCTCGGTGGGGTGTGTTCTTTTTGGTTCCGGATCAGGAGAAGGTACAAAAAGTACCCACACCAACCAATAAAACCACATATTCATTTATTCCTTGACAATTTATTCATTCGCTCCTCCACTGTTTATCGCTCTTGTTTTCAATTCGTATGCATTTAATTGTTATTCTTCGCTCTCGGTCGTCCACTTGGCAATTATTTTTACATTTAGGAATTTAATTTGCGATTTACAACGAGGACCTTCAGCCGTTAAGTGGATGAGGAGTCGAACGACAGTGTTTAAAGGACAGAATCCGTCTCCTGGTTCTGGGATCCGGGAGCTTCCACCCGGCGTCTCTCTGCCTCCAGTGAGTGTGTGTGTCAGCTCATACAGTAAAGCCACACAAACCGCCCATGACCACAAGCTGTTAACAACCACATTAACGTGAGAGAGTCCAGCTCTGCAATGAGGGCTGCTGATGAGCGGCTGGGAGGAGAAAAAGTCACACCGCTGAGCTATTTCCCCCCCCAAAAAAACACATTCAAGATGCACAAACAGGAGGCATTACAGGAGCGCGACTGAAGGACGGAGATACGGAAACCAAGTGGAGGAGGAAATGTAATAAGGAGCGATAATGAGAGGTGGATTCAAGTTCAGGAGGATTCTCCGAGGGGGGATGCAAACAAACATCCTCCATCTACTCCTTGCTCACACACTGACACACATTTCTCCATCTAGGTTTTTTTTTTTTGCATTTTTCTCTCCAAACACGTTCTGGGTGCAAATTCCAAAAGGTCAGAATTTCCTGACAGCAGCGAGGAGAGGACGAAAAAGCTCTGCGCTGGCAGCTGGACATGAATGAATGACTCTTTCTGATTGTGCTGCCCAAAGAAAAAAAAAAAAAAAAGAGGACAAATCCAGCGTCACATGGATTTGGGACAGCCCTCTCCTCCTCTCTCTCTGATCCAGCTGAAATTTGAGCAGTATTGTTAAAAGGAGGAGAAGTGACTCCTAACACTGATCACAAGTCATGTAAATGCAATGTAAATGACATGAATGCTTCTCTAACTACAACGCCTCTATCGGTTGCTTAACATAAATTTAAAAGTTAAATACGGAAATACAACAATATCCTCTGTCTGGCGAGGCCTCCCACGGAAACACTCGGCGAAAACACAAAAGCCAGAAAAGAACAAACCGACTGTAAATTCTCGGCGCGTCCTACCGCGCGGCGGCCTGCAAGGTTTCTGTCACTGATGGCGGTTTGAAGCGAGTGGCTTGATGAAAGATCTCCCTTGGCAACCGGAATCCAAACAAGGGTAGACCGATAAAAATCAGTCTGTACCACTAAAACACATCACCTTTTTCCCCAACGTAGTAAACAACCCCCCGCCATCCAAAAATCAGCCAATAGCTGAAAAGCATTTAAGGCCAAGTCAAAAACCTCAAAACAGCCCCCGAACGCTGGCATCCCGGAGATGCAGAATATGGAAACTAAAAGCTCCTTTCATTCGTCTGCTGAAATAGCCCGTGAATCCTCAGGGCCCGGCTCTCAGTTATTGTGTTTTTGCTAATTAATTATGCCGATTGAGTGCTGCAGCGCCTTCACCGGACCTCAGTGGATCTGGATAAGTCACAGGACGGAGCAGGGTTCTGCATGTGCTCCTCAGTAAGGCGGTGTCACTCTGACGCATGCATCCCTTCCCAATTAAGCGAGACCCCCTCACATCATCCTCTGTGTTTTCTTCTCTGTGGCAAACTCATGTTGCTTGCTTCCCTGTCATTCTGAAATATGCAGAGGAAGCTTCCTGAAGGGACATCTCGTGGAAAAAGTGACAGTGTCTCCTGACAGTTCTTTAAGGTCTCATTTTCGGCATTCTTGTGGCCACTGGCTAACCGTAAGATCACTGCTTTCTGTCTCTCCGTCTGTCTCCAGGGCAGGGAGAGGCCCACAATACATGGCACCCTGCGACATATACCACTGGCTGTTTACAGACGTCAGCCGTATGCATGTGTCGCTTTATGATGGGGGAAACAACCAGGAGGTGTTATACGGAGCGGCAGGCGTCTGCTAATATCTCCTGTTTGTTTGCGCTCAAGGTGAACCCAGTGCCCTTTCTCAGCTCCTCCTTTCCCCGAGTCCAAAATGAGCTTCAGTAGAAGATACAGATGGTTACTTAATGTTTGTTGAATGTAACCAAGCTGTCTGCCGCTGGTTTGGAGCAGCCTGCCAGGAGCAAAAAGAAAGCCTCTCAATTTCAGCCTTTAAATATCTGAGGGTGGCCATGTTCATTTGAAAAGCTAATATTTACTGCACCCACCTGTATGAGGTAAGAAACCGTGTCTGCGCACAGTCGTGAATATTAATACGCAAACGCACGCGGGGCAGGAATTTTAACCTCTGAGAGGGCGGGCGGGCGGACAGAGGGGTGAGAAAGAGGGTATTCACCTCTCGCCAGAGGTTTGCAGTGTTCCTAAGGATGAACCTCAGATCATCAAAACTCACTCCTCACTTTTTCAAATCGTGTTTTTGACCCGTCTGACGTGTCCTTTTGTTTCGCTACCTGCTGAGATCATTTGATTGTAACTAAAGAATCAAAAAGGTGCAGAGTTGTTTAATCTATCAGTCAGCTAAGAGGGGGAAAAAATGGAATAACTGATAAATTAGCGAGCACAAAAAAAATGTCCAATGCGAGGCTCTGCTTTCACAGAAGGTCAAGTCCACCGTACATGAGTCACAGGGCGGCGTGTGGACAGAGCTGACTGAATAAAGAGTGCATGTCTGTCAATGCGAACGGGCGAGAGCTTTGAAATTATACTCTCTTTGGTGGAGGCATAGAAAAGTTGGACAAGACGTCAACAGCAGTCTGGGGAAAACTCCACCGCAAATGACAGACACGAGATTAACATAAAACATATCTTAAAATACAGGCTGCGTTTACAAGATACTGTGGGTTTTTTGGGAGATATTATCTATTAAATCTAGATATATGACTACAAACTACCGCATGCAGCCGGCCGGTCAGGGTTCCAGGCTTCTGTGCAGCAGCGGCGGCGGCGGCGGCCGGCCCGACCTCGCCAGAAATGTGACAGCGCCGACTGACTTTTTAAGCAGGTTGAAATGACTAATGTTTACGCAGGTGACCTCTTGCGGTCGAGTGAATAAGTGCGTGTAAAAATCGCTGAACTTTTCACAAAGGCGGCGGTGTCGTCACTGCTGCCGCTTTTAGATAGGGCGGGAATCGTCACCGTGGCAACCGGGAAAATGGAGGAGAAGGTCGTTGCAGATGGCGTCTATTTTCACCCAAACCACGATCTTTTCCTAACCCTAACCGAGTAGTGGTTGGTGTGTAAGCCTAACCAACTAGCAACAGAAAATTTAAATTATAATATTAAAAAAAAAAAAAGAATCCCTCTGTCTTGGGTTAAAGTCCTGGGATTGACTTGTGCCACCGTCACACCCTAACCCTCCTCTGCAGGCGGACTTTGTCGCTCTTTATACCACCTCATGTGCAAACACAAGCCGTCGACCTGTTCTGTTGTTAAGGTGTGAGGACGTGCTGGCAGGGATACAAACCCTATGTGAGCAGCCAAATGTACCGGCGCCAGTGTGAAAGTGCTGATAACGCAAAATATCCCAGTTATTACATATTTATTATTGCATAACTATTATTGGCGCAATAAATGTAAGCAGCATTTAATGTTGTCAAGGAGGAGCTCATTATCACTACTTTATATATGTTTGTTGGTTGAAAGTGTGCTTATAATAACAATGCATGTGTGTGTATCTGTGTTCCTTGAAAATTAAACTCTACATCTCAAGGATCCTCAAGGATGAGCAATAAATCTAAAGTCAATGCAGCAACTTTTATGAGATATTTTGCATGTAAAGAAGCATGCATGTATGACTTTAAATTATTTTTTAAATGACCCTCACACACCCAAGTCACTCTGAACAGGACATAAACACAATTCAAATTGTCATAAACTCTGCGTACTTTGTTCCTGAAACGCCCCCACGGAAATCAAAGTTACTCACGCCATTAAAACACACTGTAGCACAATAACAATAATGTTGTTGTTTTTTCCGGGCATCTTTTAAAGTTCCCTAACTGGGGGCAAAACCTTTTTCCTTTTTTTTTTCAACAGAAACTCACAGAAGTGAATAATTAAACGTTTCCTTCTTCCCTCAAGGATTCTAACTAAAGAGGCCTTTAAAAGCCTTGTTTACCTTTCTCTGGCTGCTCTGTGCGGATGCCCGGCCTGTCAGAGACGGCTCACAAGGCACGCTGTCCTGCGCCCAGCAGGGAGGCTCTCTCCGGACGAACAAAAAGACATCCCAAATAGCCTTTCAGCGGGGCTTGTCCAGAGCACGCTGCCTCACAAAACTCCCACAAACATCTCTGCACACGCGCTCACCTCTACTTACAAACCTCACACATAATTGTTTGCTAAAATTCGCCTGAATGATAATTTCTTTTTT